GGCTGGAGCAGCAGTGGGCACTGGGCACAGGCGGTGGCTAAGGGCAGGGAGGTTAAGGGGGCCGTGGGTCACTGCCACGGGCTAGGGCACTGTACGTGGGTACCTTGCCACCTTAGGATGGGTGGGGAAGACCTGGTTGATGGGAGCTGATGCGATGGCTCTAGGAGCGAAGAACTGCGAGTCCACCAACGGCGTCGTCGACCAGCAGTTGGAATCCAATATGGCGGACATAAAGGGACAGTGATCCCAGTTTCCCAGTTTCCCTTGCGGGGGTCAGGTCGGGGGTGGAGGGAGGAGGGGGAAGTTGTCAGGAGGGGGAAAGAGCTGAGCAGTGGTGAAAGGAGCAGTCAGGACCGGTAGAGGGAGGGGCGCCCCACTCCTCCTGATGTTAGCACTTTTTAAAAATTTTTTTCAATTACCATTTAATTCAATATTATTCTGTGTTATTTTCAGATGTCCAGCAAAGAGCTTAGAAAATTGTGTACTTTATAGAGTGGTTCCCCCCAATGCTTCAAGTACCCACCTGGCCTCATTCTTTCGTAGTTATTACAGTATTATTGACTGTATTCCAATGCTATAATCTATATCTCTGTGACTGTTCTGTATCTACCCATTAACACTAGTTAATCCCTTCACCTTTTTCACCCAGCCCCTCAACCCCTTCTCCTCTGACAGCTGTCAGTCTCTTCTCTGCATTTATGAGTCTGTTTCTGTTTTGTTTATTCATTTATATTGTTTTTTTTTCTTTATGTTTTAATCTTTATTGTTGAAAGTATTACATATGTCCCCCTTCCCCCCCCCCAAAGACCTCTTCTAGCCTGCCCCTGTCCTATATTGTTCTTTAGATTCAAAATATAAGTGAAATCATATACATTTGTCTTTTTCTGTCTGACTTATTTCACATAGAATAATACCTTCTAGGTCCATTCATGTTGTTGCAAATGGTCAGAATTACCATCACTTTTTTTTATCTACTTGTTTATTTATGGGCACTTGGGTTGCTTTCATAGCTTCACTATTATAAATAATACTGCAATGAACATAGGCGTGCATATATTCTTTTGAATTGGTGTTTTGAGTTTCTTCAGATATATTTCCAGAAATGGAATCACTGGGACATAAGGCAGTTCCATTTTTAATTTTTTGAGAACCACCATACTGTTTTCCATAGTGGCTGCACCAATTTGCATCCCTACCAATAGTGCATTAGTGTTCCCTTTTCTCCATATCCTTACCCACACTTGTTATTTGTTGATTTATTGATGATAACCAATAAAGTATCTAATTGTGATATTAATTTGCATTTCTCTGGTGATTAGTGAAGTTGAGGAATTTTCATATGTCTATTGGTCATCTGTATGTCTTCCTTGGAGAAGTGTCTATGTAGATTTCTGCCTACTTTTAAATTGGATTGCTTCTTTTTGTGGTGCTAAGTTATCTGAATTCTTTATAAATTTTGGATATTTACCCCTTATCAGATGTAGCATTGGTGAATATGTTCTACCATTCAGTAGATTTTATTTTCATTTTGTTGATTCTATGAAGGATTTTGGGTTTTTCATTATAATATAAATTCTTAGAAATTTAAAGCAAATACTCATTAATGCAGAGCTGACATTTATTTAAAAAAAATAATGACAAGTAAGTCATTTTATTAAAATGAAGTAAAATTGATTTTGGAAAACTTGTCAATGAGTCAGAATCCAGCTTCTTCAATGGTATGTGTAGCAAGATTATAGTGGCTCATTTTAGCATTATTGAAAAAAAAAGATTTCTGGTTGGATCAGAAAAGTAGGGGGGGACACTCAGCTAATTTTTTAAAAAGGTTAATTGTAAGTATCAGATTATCTTTGATGAACCACAGTTTAATAAATGTCAGCTGTCAGAAATGGAACTTCACACCAATTTCATTTTATTCTCTGTTTAAATACATTTATTTGAGGATAGATGGCATACGTGAATTTATGGTCACATTCCATGACGCTGGTACATCACAGATTCCTATCAAGGAATATGCCATATTCCCATTGCCTGTGTTGGTAACACTGTTCTAGCAATAAATGCCAACATGCCACAAATTTCAAAAGGATGAATAATCATTATTTCAAAGTGTTGCCTTTTAAAATGGCTTACATGAAACTTTCAATGTCTGTGCTAAAGAAAAAGATTTACCTCCCAGCAGCTTGAGACAATGAAGTGTTTGTACTTCCACATTAGTTTGTTTGGTGGGATACACATCAGTACTGCAGGGCAGCTGTCTGTCAGAGCTGTAAATTTGTTGGCTGAAGCTCTCTGGCAAACATTTGTGTGTAAAAATTGAGTTGTTTTTTTACTACGACTGGATATCTTGCAGTTCCTGTTCTTCCTTTGCTTTGATATCCTAGTAAACCTGCAATTTCCTTTCATCCTTTAAGAAAGCCCTGTTAGAAGACAGTCTCATGAGGAAGTAGACCAGGGAGATGACAGTGGCACCAGCTCCCACACATGCCACAACAAAAAGGTGATAGGTCATGTAGAACCGATTTGTATAGCAGATGTTCTAGGACACAACCACATATTTTTCCTGGGAAAGCACTTAAAGGAATGATATACTGCAATGCTGATCTGCTCCACACTGACTGTCCTGTTGGTCTGGATGACTTTGATAACTTAACAAATTGACTATATTCTATAGAACTTAAACACGGCACCCCAGAGAAACCAAGCACTCTTAGCCAGGCCATTCCCACAACATAGATAAGGAAGAACAACATTCCAGGGATGCAATGGCCACAGACAGTTGTTTAAAACTCTCTGTATAGTTCTTTCTCTGCCCTTGTGCAGAAAAGAGTTCTCCCAACAGAGTGATAACATACAAAAAGAAAAAGAACACAATTCCATAAATAATATATTGCATGAGTGGTATTACCTCACTTAGCAAGGCATGGCCACTGGTGTTGGTAGAGAAGGGTTGCTCAAACTGAAAGCTTTTTCTTTAAGATCAGAAACAAGACAAGGATGTCCCCTTTCACTACTTTTATTTAACATACTATTGGAAGTTCTAGCCACAGCAATCAGATAAGAAAAAAGAAAAAGAAATAAAATGCATCCAAATTGGAAAGAAAGAAGTAAAACTCATTATTTGCAGGTGACATGATAGTATACATGGAGAACCCTAAATAATCCACCAAGAAACAATTAGACAAATAAATGAATTCATTAAAGTAACACACTACAAAATTAATATTCAGCTATCAGTTGCATTTTTATACACCAACTTGAGGCCCAGTGCACACAAATTTGTGCATGCAGGGTGGAGTCCCTCAGCCCGGCCTGCACACTCTGGCAGCCTGGGAGCCCTCAGGGGGTGTCCACCTGCTGGCTTAGGCCCACTCCCCATGGGTAGTGGGCCTAAGACATCAATCGGACATCCTTAGTGCTGCCGAGGAGGCCGGAGGAGGCAGGAGAGGCTCCTGCCACCGCCGCTGCGCTTGTAGCCATCAGCCCAGCTTGTGGCTGACCAGAGCTCCCACTGTGGGAGTGCAGTGACCAGCAGGGGGCAGCTTCTTCATTGAGCATGTGCCCCCTGGTGGTCAGTGCATGTCATAGTGACCAGTCCTTCCTGGTCATTCTGCCATTAGGGTCAATTTGCATATTACCATTTTATTATGTAGGATAACAAACTATCAGAAAGCAAAATTAAGAAAATCCCATTTCCAATTGCATCAAAATAATAAAATACCTAGGAATAAATTATCCAAGGAGGTAAAAGACTTAAATTCAGAAAACTATAAGACATTGAAGAAGGTACACATAAATAGAAGGATACACTGTGCTCATGGATGGGAAAAATTAACATTGTTACAATGTTCACATTGCCCAAAGCAATTTCCAGATTCAATGAAATCTCTATCAAAATACCAATGGTATTTTGAACAGAATAATCTGAATATTTCACAGAAACATAATTCTAAAATGTATACGGGATTACAAAAGAACCCAAATTGCCAAAGCAATCTTAACAACAACAACCACCCCCACCCCCAAGTTGGAGGTATGACACTGATATCAAATTATACTATCAGGGTATAGTAATCAAAACTGCAGAGTAATGACATAAAAAATAGGAACATATGTCAATGGAATAGATTACAGAATCTAGAAATAAACTAATGACTACATAATTAATCTATGACAAAGAAGGCAAGAATATACAATGGGTTAAAGCAGTCTATTTAATTAAATTGTGTTGGGAAAACTGGACAGACACATGCTAAAAATGAAATAGGATCACTGTTACACTATATATAAAAATAAACTCAAAATGGTTTAAACACTTAAATGTAAGACCTGAAACCATAAAACTTTTAGAAGAAAACATAGGCAGTAAAATTTCTGTTACCACTCTAAGTAATATGTTTTTCTTTTTAAAACTTTATTTCAACATAACTGTGCTTACAGAAATACACTCATATTGGTTAATAGAATGCAATTTAAGTTTAACTTATTTTACATGATTTGGACCAAAAACTTGGTACATGGCTTAAACATAAATAAAAAGGTTTGCAATGTTTTATTTTTCATCTATTACAAAGGTATATAAAAGATCCTCCAAAGGCTGCTAAAGCAGTCAGCAAGAACCTTGAGAAATTAACCTTTGGTTTGTCTTTGAAAAATAATACCTATTGCACTGTAAGTTTATAAAATTGATACAACAAAACAGTATTGCAATGTTTCAATGCAGGTTTACAAAGTTCAATAACTAACTAATGGATGCTGAAAAGAGTGGGGAAAGCCTATGTATACATGTGAAACTGAAAAGCTATTTTTTTTAGTCAATATTGCATGTAGATTGCAAATCTACACAAAGCAGGATTCAGATAATTTCCTGAATCTGAATTAACACTATCAGCTCAGTTTATCCGCTGAGGTCAAGAAGGAACTCCACACACTA